TCTCAAACTCGAGTTTTAACTGGAAAAATTAGGTTTTTTGAGGCAGTAGTTAATACGGTGCCGGGAGCGCTGATCGTTTTTTGCGGCACCCGATTCATCCACCTTGGGCCGACAAATGTGCGGGCAATCCGGTAATTTATTTTTTTAGCCAATAAATTACTCATACGTCAAAACTTTGCTCTGGCGGGCCCGGGCACAGAACAAGTGATATATTGGCTCTTGTCACAGTTACGTACAGTACGCCGCGTTAATAGTGTTCGTTTGAGAACTACTTTTTAATACTCATAGTATTGAATAAGATTTTAATTTATGAATTTGAGTTACCTACTAATAATTACAAGTACAAGCTAGGTACAAAGTATCTCAGTGTCAGGCTAAAATCAAGAGTAGAGCTGATTAACGACGATAGATATCCTAAAAATAAGCTCTCTTTAAAACGTAATCTTTACATCGGTTAATACCTACTTGATTAAGTAACCTGTACAGAAACACAATAAGTAAAATAGAAAGTAAAATAGACTAGAAAAATAACTACAAGTACAGACATTTTACGCAGACACATTATGGCTGAGTTGCACCACTTAACTTTGCGGGATTTTTGACGTTTGTCAAAGTTAAAGTAAGATGATGCAACCCAGCCTAAATCTTGTTGATTTTACATAGAACTAACGCCCGTATTCACAAACATTACTATGAGGTCTCAGAGTGCGCGTGGACGCACAGGGTGAGATACGAACCAATCACAGAGCTTTATTCAACGCTGTGCGTTCGATTTGCTGCTTCACTTAAGCAAGCATCGTTTGTGAATACGATCGTAAGTATCTCGTAGCGTGGGAAAAGAAATGTAGAGACTTTTCAAAATAATTTCATAATTTATTTCAATCATAGTTAGATTGTTTTTACATAGGTACATTCCATAATAAAAACATTGCAGTAACAAACGTTTATTATGTTGAATGTTTATTATCTACTAGCGGCCGCCCGCGTCTTCGTACGCGTGGATCCCGTTTTACCCCCTTCATCTATCTTACGCGGTTTAGATTTTTTCATACAAATGTTTTTTCCCGCTAACTCCCGTTCCCGTTAGAATTTCGCAATATCCTGTTGTAACTAAGCTTTAAGTTTACTAAGGGACCTGCATGCCAAATTTCAAGCGTCTAACTTAAGCGGTTTAGATTTTTTCATACAAATGTTTTTTCCCGCTAACTCCCGTTCCCGTGAGAATTTTGCAATATCCTGTTGTAACTAAGCTTTAAGTTTACTAAGGTACCTGCATGCCAAATTTCAAGCGTCTATCTTACGTGGCTTAGATTTTTTCATACAAATGTTTTTTCTCGCTAATTCCCGTTCCCGTAGGAATTTTGCAATATCCTGTTATAACTAAGCTTTAAGTTTACTAAGGTACCTGCTTGCCAAATTTCAAGCGTCTAACTTAAGCGGTTTAGATTTTTCATACAAAAGGATTTTCCCGCTAATGCCCGTTCCCGTGGGAATTCCTAAGTATCCTATAACCTGCCCAGGAGTATGAAGAATAATTGTACTAAGTTTCGTTAAAATCCGTCGAGTAGTTTTTGTTTCTATAAGGAACATACAGACAGACAGACAGACAGACAGACAGACAGACAGACAAAAATTTTACTGATTGCATTTTTGGCATCAGTATCGATCACTAATCACCCCCTGATAGTTATTTTGAAAATATATTTCATGTACAGAATTGACCTCTCTACAGATTTATTATAAGTATAGAATGATCATTTACACGACCAAAATACGGGGCGGACTGTACACTATCCTACCAATTTTTAAAAAGGTTCAATTGACAAATTACTCTTAGTGGGTAAAACATTTATTTTAATGAACGCTCATTAATAGACAACGCATTTTTAAGTGTTTTGTGTAAAGCAATCTTTTAAACCTCTAGTTCGTTGATTTTAGGAATGCAATTAAGTTTAACATAATTCATTTTCATGTTCTGAAACACCGATTACTTGTATGCAGTTGCAGGTACACTATTTTATTACTTAATTACTGCATGGTATACCTACCTAATTATGTAAATAGTGTGGAGTGGATTACATAGTATGCATTGTTTCAATTATCTTGTTTGAAGAAAAAAATGTTTAAAGTAAAGATTACGAAAAGGAAAAAATGTTTCAAAAGAGCGTCTGCTTTACCGACTTTGATGCTTAAAAGGTATGTAAGTAGGTGTTTTACACTTGAATTCAGTAAAAACAATCCAAGCCATTTCAGTACTTTATCTTGTCAGTTGACGAAGCAGCATAATGCACCCCTATGCACTTTGACTAGTGGACGGATGACACAGCAATACCGTTGATGGAAATTCGGCTGAACTCAATATGGGTAGGTACCAGCGTTGCCAGTTTTTTTTTTCGCCAAGTCGGGACTTTGGTACTTTTTGAGTGAAAATAGCGGGACTCTTCCGTCAGAAGCGGGACATAGTAAAAAAACGTATTATAATCAAAGGTTTTCAAATATTTATCTTTTTATTTCACTTAAAATTACGTTTACGTGACAATAGATAGCAAAAGTAGCCATAGAAAATGTACCTATTTTAACAAAAAAAAATATTTTAAATCAGATTTACTCTATCGCTAAATTCGTCTTTAGAATAAAAAAAGAATAAAATTAAAAATGTTTTATTCTTGAGAATAATTATGGCGTTTCAAACAATAGTTTGGTGAAGTGAGTGTCTCTCTCCGAAAAGCGGGACCGAGCCTGTCCCGCGCGGGACATTTAAATTTGTTTAAAAATCGGGACGTCCCGCCAAAATCGGGACGTCTGGCAACGCTGGTAGGTACTCTTGTTAATGAAAATGGACAGTATGTGCGAACAGCTAGGGACTAGAATTCGCTGCCTGCTTCTTTTTTCCCGAAGAAATGCCGTTTGGCTTAGTGGTTCGTAACGCAATTCTATGCCGAGAGGTCGCGGGTCCGATTCCCGTACAGTACAAACATTTGTGTGGATGAACACATTTGTTTGTATTGTAATGGGTGTTTTCTATCTATAAGTGTACCTACGTATTAACAAAAAAAATTGTATCTATTTTTCATTCGTTGTCTAGTACCCATAGTACAAGCTTTGCTTAGTTTGGGACTAGAAGCGCAGTGTAAAATGTCCAAGGATAATAGGATTAATATAATAATAAATATATAATCCTGCCTTTTCATAAGGCGATAGGGACTTACAGGGCTGATATGTATCATCCTAAACTGCATCACACTTAGGCTGAGTCGCACCACCTAACTTGACCGTAACTTTAAGGATAACCGGCGTATTTTGTATGGAGTTTGACAGATTTTTGACGTTTTTTAAAGATAAAGTAAGATGGTGCAACCCAGTCTTAACGTTTTAAAGGCAAGTACATACTTCACGTTATATTATACCGGACCTGTAGTTACGATTGCAGTTTTATTGTAACGTCAACATACAATGTAGGTACGCACGATCTCACCTGTGCCTCTTAACCTCAGGTTATCCAGGGAGTACTAAAAGTGTTTTCATATTCGTATTGAAGATAAAGTAAAAACATTCATTGAGTACATTGGGTAATTTACTACCTATAACTATCTAAAGGTAAGTTTTCGACATACGTCTGATACAAACGTATGCGTATTTTTATCAAATTAGGACAACCTAAATACAGATATTCACACATACTTTAACCACCAAAAAAATATGAAAACGTTAAATTTTCCCGGAAAATGCATGAAAATAAAAAGCATGATTACCTACTCTTTCTTCCTTTAGGGCTTAGGGCTTTGTCCCTTATATTTTGTTATTGTCCCTTATATTATTCCACCATAATTTGATTGAACCTAATTTACATCATAAGAAAAATCTAGCAATGAAAAGTATCAACGTTTTGTACCCGATATTATTAGCATTTATACTTTCATTGCCAAAAAGGCAATCAGCCCAATAATATTTCATTAGAGAATACCCACTAGTGGAGTGGAGAAACCGAGAAAGAAACAAAATGCAAGATCCAATTTACTGGCCAGTGCCTAATATCCCTGGAGTATCTCTAGGTCGTTTTGATATTAACTATCTTTTAATATTAAAAGCGTCTACATTCCACTGTGTATATTAGGTATCTTTTGTCTTGTTATTGGAGCTTATAAAGCCTAAGTTGATAGTTACTAAATATTTGTAAGTGGTTTAATTATAAAGAGAGTCTCTCTTTTACTTTCGTTTATTAAAGAGGTTTTAATAAGGTTTTGTGATTAATTAAAAAAATACCGTAAACAAAGACGTCATCAATATGTAAAGTCCATAGTACAAATTAAACATTATGAATGACTTAAGAAATGACAAAAATAAATCATCAGTTGTAGAAATGTTACATCATGCACCCGATATGCTTACAAACATCGGTTAATGTCACTTTCGTTTATCTTTAAACTATCAAAGAAATTAATAAATATGCACTTGTGTAGAAATAAAAGGTTCCATCAATAAATCTGTATCTGTATATGTATATTTTCTATTGACTACTAACTCTACCACTATACTCGTACCTTCCATGTCAAAGTCAATGAGTACATAAATGTGCATATAAAGTTTGTTAATGTGTCTAAGTAGGTACCTAAATACATTTATTTGTAAAAAAATAATTAAGGTTTAAAATCAAATGGTGCACAATAACATTTCTCATCAAAATATTAGAAAAAAAAAACCTGTGTCAAAAGAAATCATTTGAAGCTGTGTAAGTACCTAAGTATTATTTTGTGACAGTGCAGTTTAAAAAAAAACATTATTTAAAATTCTAACATTAGGGTGTTCCATAAACCCTGTCACTTGTTTCTATAGATCACAAATTAGTATGTATAAAACAATAAGAATAATAGACATGTCATTTGCTTTCTTTTATCCGAACAGATTAAGATAGGTCAGGTACGAAGTGTTTACACAAGCCAAGGTACTTGACCTATACCTGGGAGATAAGGATGCGTCTCCTATAAATAGGGTAGCCGCTGTTTACTGGGCATCATTCGGCATGGCTCGACTCGTGCTGTGTGTGTTGGCCTTGTTGGCTAGTGGGCTCTGCGCCCCAGAGCCTGCGCCTAGCGTGGAACAGCTACAACAAACCGTCCCTGGTAAGTAATAAGACTTAATTTAGCTTGACACCTTCCTTGGAAAAAATAGTGCATCTTCAGCTTCTTTCTTTGATCTTTCCACATAATTCTTAAACCTATTTAGTCTGGTGGTGGCCGTAACGTGGTCTGCTAAAGACTATCACGTATCTCAATTTAGCATCAGCAAAGTATTTACTATCATTATTATACTTATTTGTTCATATGCCTAGTTTTTTTTATTTGTTTATTTCAACCTCAATTGAAAGTGCATTTTGGATTTAATTTTGTTTTTTGTGAAAAGTGAGCCATGAGGACTTGGAACAGCAGCAGAAGCTGATGCTCTTGTTCTTCCACACGCACGAGCCGTTGCACCTGGCTGAGCACATCGAAATTGCTACATCATGGGACTTGATGAAAAACCTCGACAAGTACCACGTAAGTTTTGTTTTTACATTTATAAATATTCTTTCATATTACCCATATCACCATTCCTATTCTGTAAAGAAGAAACATGTGAATATTTTTTCTTTTTAAATCTTCTGCACTGTGATTTACCTATTTCATATGTTACAGAATGCTACAGCCGTCAACCTGGTCGCAAAGATGATTGCACACGATTGGCTGCTCCCTCAGGGCTTACCTTTACATCTGCACGAATACGAGCACACTTTCCAAGTGCAGACCTTTTTCAATCTTCTGTACTCTGCAAAGACTTTCGACACTTTCTACAAGACTGCCGTATATCTAAGGCATCACATTAACGAATACATCTTCGTGTACATTACGACCGTCGCCATCTACCACCGCGCTGACACCCAAGGAATCATCGTTCCTCCGCTATACGAAATTTTCCCCTCATTCTTCAACAACGGAGAGATCATGGCCACTGCCCAAAGGATTACCACTCATGGCCACCGATGGGTTGAGCACTATCCTAATACCTATGTTTGGGACAACAACGTGGTTGTTATGTGGAACACTACAGTCTGGCCTTACTACAGTGAAGAAATGCCTGTATCTTACTTCACTCACGATTATGGTCTCAACAACTATTACTACAACATTCATATGCTCTACCCGTTCTGGCTTGGAAATGAAGTAGTGCCTTTAGTCAAAGATCACCGCGGTGAATGGTTCTGGTTTGTTCACAAGCAGATCCTCGCTCGTTACTACATGGAGAGATTGTCCAACGGTCTTGGTGAGATTCCCGAGCTTGGTCTTGACATCGTTGAACAAGGTTACACATCTGGCCTGGTCTACCACAACGGTATTCCTTACCCTGTTAGGCCCAACTACTTATACCTGCAACAGCCTGGGTTTGTGCACAAAATCAACCAGATCGTTGACTTTGAACGCCGCATTCACGAAGTTATTGACTCAGGATACTATATCGCTGTGAGTTTACCGCAAGGTTCTATTATTATTAATAATGTATCTAAATACATACAATATGTATGTAATATTTAATAAAATATGTACCTATTTTATTAAATGTTTCTAGCCTTCTGGCGAGCATGTTAACATCAACCACCCTGAGGCTATTGATGTGATTGGACGTTTGATTGAAGCCAACGTGGACTCGCCTAACAACATGTACTACAAAGACTTCATCAGTGTCTGGAAGAACCTCCTCGGAAACTCTAATGTGTACGAGCCCACATACTGGAAGTATGTTCTAAATTTTTTACAGTTATTTTTCCCACGATAATGATAGAATTTAAGCTGATATAACATTTCACTTTTAGGGGCATCCCATGGGTCTTGCCATCAGTCTTGGAACAGTACCAGACCGCTCTTCGTGATCCGGCGTTCTACATGATCTGGAAGCGAGTACTGCATCTGTTCACTTTATGGCAGGAGAAGCTTCCTCACTACACCCACGAACAGCTTTCTCTGCCTGATGTCGAAATTCAGAGTGTTGCGGTTGACAAACTGGTGACATACTTCGAGAATTCCTACATGAATGTTACCAACCACCTGCACTTGAACGAAGTCGAAAGTAAGATTACAAAAGATGGCCGTATCCTGTGAATATTGTTCACGATTTCACATAATTTAAAAAATGATTTGGTTTTTAGGCGAGCTCGTATTCGACAACAAGAGTGTAGTGGTGCAGCACCCACGTCTGAACCACAAGATCTTCAGCTTCCGCGCAAATGTCCACGCCAATGTTGCCAAGAACGTTGTTGTCCGTCTGTTCTTGGGTCCTAAATACGACAGTCTCGGCAGGGAGATCCCCCTCCACTTGAACACTGAGAACTTCTTCCAAATCGACCAGTTCCCTTACTCCTGTAAGTATTCAAACTGATTTTTACTGTCTATTACACTTGATTTCATAAAGTAATGGACGTCGATGGTAATATTTTCTTAATTCCAGTGACCCAAGGAGACAATGTCATCGTCCATGCGTCCAACGAGAACCAGTTCTTCATGAAGGACATGCCATCTTCGTATGACGTTTACGAGAAGGTCCAGAGCGCGTTGCAAGGCCACGAGCAGTTCTTGTACGACACATCTTTGAAGATTGACCACTTCCCGCAGCGACTTATGCTGCCTAAAGGTAAAATTACCATTTTATGAACAAGAATAGAATATAATAATTTATTTATTTATTAGGGAGATCAACAGTTTACAAACAATGTAACATTAACACTTAACACTATGGAAAGCCAATAACAGATAACCACGTAGTAGCTTAGTTTAAATTATATATGTGTACAAACAAACATTCATCTACTAGACTTTATTGCGGTAAATGTATTAGATTCGTAATGAATGTCCGTTTCACAACCAAAGACGATTAGCATGCAACATAGGTATGCACAAATTGTACAAGAAGTCTTTAAATAATTTCTATCTACACCTGCTGCTGAAAGTAAATTTGGTGTGCCTCTAAACGCTGACCTTATATCTTTTCCAGGTCGCGTCGGTGGCATGCCTTTCGTGCTGATGGTCTACATCTCTGAGTACCACGCTCCCAACGTCCTCCACGGTACTGGCTTCGACCCCAAGCTGTCTTTGGGTCTTGGATCTGGCGCTCGCTTCTACACTGGAGATCCTCTGGGCTACCCGCTCGACAGGCCACTGTACGAATGGCAGGTACTAGACCTCAAGAACATCTGGTTCCAGGATGTCCTGATCCACCACAAACATACCCCCGAAATCTACGTCAGCCATAACGAATGATGACCTCACCCGCCGTTTTGATCGATGCCGGCAATGTGTTTTATAGCCACCAGTAATATTAGTTTATTTATTATAATCCATATAACAGCAACTGAACAGTACAAATATGTTATGTATCTCCCCACGAACAAATAGCAAGTACAATAGTCGAATGTTGCGGGCATCATTGTAGTTTAATATTACTGCTATGTATTCTATTAGTGTATGTACTGAACTTTTTATATCTATTGTGTATAGATAAATAAATATATAAATATTATGTAAAAGTTTGTTTTGTTTTACCTTCCAAATAGTCAGCGGCGTGCAATGCATTATTAGTAGTTTATTAGGGCCCGATTCGACCAAACTTTTATCCGAGAATAACTCCTGGTAAAACTGACTGACAGTTTCAGTATGGGAAATAATATGTCAAAGCTGACGATTTATTCTGAGATTAATATTTACTCTTGTTTGGTCGAATCCACCGTAAGTCAGAGAGTAGGTAAAATAGACAACACATCAGACGATACATTTTTGTGTAGAAATAACAAAAATAAAATACTCAAATCAAAGTGATCTCTTTATCTTGTTGTCGTATGGTGTACCTATACCCATAGTTTTTTTTTTATAAATAGGTACACAATTGTTAGTAAAACACTGCTTATTTTGAAACATGTGTAGTTTAGACAGGAAAGTACACACAATAGAAAATTACGCTTGCTAACATAAAATATCCTATCTATGAAACTGATTTTGATATTTTAACTTACGACATTAAGTTTTTATGGAAAAAATAACTAATAAAATAATAAAAAAAAACATAATAGGTACCTAGCTACTAACCGAATTGAGAACCTCCTCCTTTTATTGAAGACAGTTAAAATAGCTAATGTGACGTTGACTGTACCAGTGTACCTGATGACGGAATTTAACTAAACACTGGCATAATTAATTTGCAGTTTAAGTAAGATACCTGAAGTACCCTTGAGGTGGATTTTCAGCAAAAAGTTAGTCTAATGTGCTGTCGATTTTACAATACAAAAAAGCTAATTAGACTACTTAGTGCATTTTACACTTATTATAAAAATAATTTTAGTGGTAATTATATTAATTTAATATGTTTAATAAAGAAATCTTTTTCTATTTAACCAAATCACTACCACACAAGAACCACGTGTTCAGCATGATAAATGCTATTGCCTGAACCTATTTAAGATGGAGTTGCATCAACTTACTTTAACTTATAAATCGGTCAAACTCCATACAAAAAGCACCGGTTATTGTTATTGTAACGGTTAAATAAGGTGGTGAAACTCAGCCTAAGTGTTCAGACTGATCTTGAAAAGGGTTTTTGTTAACCCTTTTGCCCTGTCTGAAAAATTAGAAACACTGACATGGAACGTGTAGGGCTTAGGCGGTTATCACAGCGCCGCGCTCCGCGTAATTTTCATATAAAAAATCACGCGCGCGGACGCGTTGTCAGTGTGAAGTGCCGCGCGTGTTTTCTATACAAACTGAGGTACTTGCATACAATGATTAAATCTGTCGCCCCGCGCTCCGCGGCGCGGCGGAGCGCGGCGCTGGCGGCCCAGTGTGATAACCGCCTTAGTGAGTAAATAACAAAGGGGATTATTTGCACAGAACTAAAGGACATCATCCAGGTTTCATATATTTTTGGTCCAAAATCAAAAGTGCCGGCCAACAAAAAAAAGTGCTGTATTCTGACAGAATACGTCTGCCTTAGCATTTGTTACTATGGCACCAAAGCCGTAGCTCCACTGTGCGTCGAGTATTTGAGATCTAAAAGTCATCGACTATTCATACATTTTTTGTTCAAAATCAAAAGTGTCGGCCAATAAATAAAAAAGTGCTGTCTTCTGACAGAATACGTCCGCCTTAGCATTTGTTACTATGGCACCAAAGCTGTAGCACCACTATGCGTCGAGTATTTGAGATCTAAAATTCATCACCGATTCATACATTTTTTGTTCAAAATCAAAAGTGTCGGCCAATAAAAAAAAGTGCTGTCTTCTGACAGAATACGTCCGCCTTAGCATTTGTTACTATGGCACCAAAGCTGTAGCACCACTGTGCGTCGAGTATTTGAGATCTAAAATTCATCGACGATTCATACATTTTTTGTTCAAAATCAAAAATGTCGGCCAATAAAAAAATAAGTGCTGTATTCTGACAGAATACGTCCGCCTTAGCATTTGTTACTATGACACCAAAGCTGTAGCACCACTGTGCGTCGTAGTATTTGAGATCAAAGTCAGTCGTTTCATATATTTTTAGAACTCAAATACTACGATGCACAGTGGTGCTACAGCTTTGGTGCCATAGTAATAAATGCTAAGGCGGACGTATTCTATCAGAATACAGCACTTTTATTTTTTGGCCGGCACTTTTGATTTTGGACCAAAATGGATGATGTCCTTTACCTACATAAAACTAGGTTTTTCCTGCGGCTTCTCTTGCATCGGTCTATCAAGAAAGTCTTGAGCTTTTATGGGTATTATTATAGATACACTGTGAGCAAATATTATGTAATTAAATAAATTGACGTTATTTTCTTCGAAAAGAAAAATCCCTCACCTAACTGCTGTCATAATATTATTATGTTATAGTAGAACAGAAAAAATCTAAGCCAGCCTCTTGTCGTTTCAATAAGGGGACGTCCACTGCTGGGAAAAAGGTTTTCCTCATCGATTGGTCCTGAGCTTCTTTATACAATTTAAATAAGTAGATAGGTATTGTATTCGATATGTAATTATAATAATTCAGTCTTTCCAAAGCGGCTGGACCGATTTAAATGGGACTTTCATTGGAAGAGAGCGATAGCGATTTCGTAGGATATTTTAAGTTGTGATTTTGTTTTGCAACAATTATAGTCAGTACAGGACAGGACACCTGCACTATTTCTTAAGTATACCTAATATACCTATACACTAGTATTATTTATCTGTGCCTATCTATACGAATACCTAATTATTATTATCATTATTTCGAAAACTGAAACTCAGGCGATTCAGTGCTAATGTGGTATTTTCTTGTAATTACCCGACTGCGCCAGAAGGAGGGTTATGTTTATAAAAAAAAACCTATGAAAAATCACTTGATTGGGATGAGCTGTTGTTGCCATCTGGCGAAGACAAGTGAAATAAGTACCACGCCATCTGGCGATGACAAGCGAAATAAGTACCACGCTATCTAGCGAAGAAGACGAGCTGCTAAAATGAGCACCACGCCATCTAGCGAATATAATGAGAATTACTACCTACTTGCTTTGTGTGTTCCTTGCTTGGTACGTGGCTGCTAGTAATAGCATCTTTGAAAGCAAAAGTTTTTATCTTTACTACTCGACGCTAGATGTCACTAAACATCGACCTTTTTGTACTAATTTTTGAGTTTGTTAAATATTTTTACTTTACAGTGTGCCCACCATGAGTTTACGTTAGGTGTGCTCGCTAGCGACTGCGTAAAAAAATGACATTTAAATGTATGACATATTGTGCAGCGCCCCTAGCGGCTACTTTCAAGAAATAAAATCTTCATATAATTTTTTGACGTATTCGCTAGCGAGCTCACCTAACGTAAACTCATGGTAGGCACACAGGCCGTCGCTATGACCTATGGCTCCCATCAAGTCACACTGTTACTCGTTAGGACCTAAAAGCTTTAATTAATAATTCTCCCTCTTTTCAAACGACTCCAATAATGTTGTCAATCGTGAAATTTAAGAGCCAACTACATAATCGTTCTCTTTGAGTTATTTAATTTATTACTTGTATTTATTCATTTCATAGTAAAATAAAAACTTAGAGAGCACGTTATCTGTCCAACCAGCTACCGAACCCTGGCCTTCGAGATTTATGACAGTCAAACTGAAACCACTGGTCTACAGGACAGGAGCATGTGTTTTTAGGGTTCCGTAGTCCTGACAAGGAACCCTTATGGTTTCGTACCCTTATAGTATCCGCCTGTCCGTCTGTCTGTCTGTCTGTCCGTCCGAGGTTTTGCTGGGAATCTATGGGCACTAGAGAGCTGTAATTTTGTGGAGGTAAGGTAAACGCACCAGTATGAACAGTGCCCCAATGAAGAACACTTTTTTTAAACTCCTGTATCATGAAATACCGGTACTTTAAAACAAATGGAAATACTAAATCATGGACTTTGGACATTTTACTGTCAAAATACTCAGTTTTTCATTTTGAGTGTCGCCCATTTGTAAAACGGTGATCACTTCAAGGACACGCGGCGTTTTTTCGAAGATTTCTTACAACATTTCTTTAGACAGATGAGTTGTTTTACTTTATATTAATGTACATACTAAGATTTGGTAAAACGAGTTTGTTATTTATTTTCAATGTGAGATAAGTTTATTGTCAAGCTATTTATAACAAAAAAACCGGCCAAGTGCGAGTCGGACTCGCTCACCGAGGGTTCCGTACAAACCTGCAAGGTTTACAAAGTTCGTTCATTACGACAATCGAGTCATAACTATGGTATTTTTATTGCAAAATGAAATTCATAAGTTTATATTTATTAAAAAATATATATTTTGTAATGTAACTAAAAATTTAAGGTTTTCGGAATTGTTCCTTCATGTGTGCTATAAAACGTTGCTTCATGCCAAATTTCAAGATTCTAGGTCGACTGGAAGTACCCTTTAGGTTTTGATTCCCTTGCGAGTACTTGCGAGTTTCAAAATATGCAGCTTAAATTTTATTGCTGTTTCTTTTGATTGCGTTGACATAGAAGTTTGATTTTGTTACAACTTATAGGTATTATAGACCTGAGTATTTGGTATGAATTTCAATTTAATACCTCTACGCGTTTATGAGGAAATGGGTAGTAAGTTTAAAATTATTAAAAAAAAATATATTATGTGATGTGACTAAAAATTTATGGTTTTCGTAATTTTTCCTTTATCTATGCTATAAGACGTTGCTTCGTACCAAATTTCAAGATTCTGAGTTCACGGGAAGCACCCTGTAGGTTTTGATTCCCTTGCAAGTGTCGAAAATTTGCGGCATAAACGGCTGTATCTTTTGATTGCGTTGGCTTAGAAGT